TTTTCAGACAGTCATCCTTCCAATTTTATCGTATGAATTGTACTGGAACGGTTAAGTTTTGCCTCTTTTTGGCTTTAGACAGAGAAATGTGTAAAGTAAAATAAGGCTAAGAAACATGATTGTCATCAGGCTCCATTTTGGACTCTGAATAAATTGTATCGCTAACGTCATTGTGCATTTATTTAATAAACTTGACGATAATTATTAAAGGAGTGCTTATCCTGTCTGGGAGAGGGAAATAGGACAAAATGCCTTGAGAACCTGCAGTCAACCAAGTGATACTCTTGCCTGCTTAGCCAAAGCAGTCACGATCAAAGCATGATAACAGTTTCAGTTATCGGTGGGGCATCCATGGTAACGAAGACGTACTTCGGCTGTAACCGTTAGCAACAAGAAGACAGCGCACAAATCTTTGACGGGGCTCATTACTTTTTCCATAAATTTTTCCGCCTGATCGTGCAATCAGTTTTCTGTCATCAAACTGCAATGTCTTCCCTCGTTACAGCTGTGTTAAAATCATTCATTGGTGCACTGATTAGCAAAGGTCGCTCCTTAGCAGCGAAAAAGCTGAAAGATGGTGACGTTGCAGATGTTAAAATACGCCAGTTGATCGTTCAAGACATGGACGACATCAAGTCGAAGTTGGACGAAATATCAAGGAAAGATCTGAAAACCAGTATAAGCTTTTTTAATGATGGAGTTGTGTACCTTGGCAAGGTTCTGGATACAGAAATAGACGGCAGTGGAGCTTCAGAGTGGAAAGAAGTTACAACTGAGGTCCGTGGAGCAACCAAAGAAATCAAAGTAAAGGAAAACAACGTTGTTTCTTCGGCGAAAAGAATGAAAATCTTGCGGGTCGATATAAATGAAGAAGCAACGAAGGTCATTGAAGAAGCCAAAAGTAGATTCGAAGATGCTCGTAAAAAAGCAATTGAAGCCTTTTCCAACCCAGCCCTATACACCTCTGATCGCCTTCTTGCCATGGCGATTCGTATTATGGCGACTGTCTTAGAGAAGGTGGACAATCCAGGGAGCGCTTTAGACTCATTAAGATACTGTCTTGAAGAGCTTCACTCGCTGCCCGCAGTGCAGGAAAACTTTAGCGTAACGCTTAAGAAAGGATTCAAGTCGAAGTTTGGCCAGGATCAACGGAACGAAATTATCTCTTCGGTTTGTCACATGAATCGCATTATTTATGATCTAACGCATGAGTTCGTAGAAGATGGAAGTAAATCTAAACAGCTGTTGATATGGCCATGTATTGAGGTTGATGGAGAAAAAATCGATCTACTGCGCGACGCAAGAATAGCTGAAGGGCTCCGTGAAATGGGCATGGAACAGTATTGTGTGCAGCCTTGGTCGTTTAGTCAGAAAGGTAAAGAAGAAGAGCAGTTAGAACAGATACAAAGTATCGCTATAAATACGAAAGGACAGTTTATAGTCGGAGATCAGAGTACAATTAACGTGTTTGACAGAAGGGGAAACTTCCTTTCCTCCTTTTCTCCCCCAGGATACAATGTCGCTGGGGAATATGTAGCAGTTGATCATGCCGACAACGTGTACATACTTGTACCTGACTGCATGCGCACTAGCGTTTTATACGTGTTCGACGCCCAAGCAAAATTCGTTCACAGTTTCAGAGTTAGCACGGGCAGGCGAGGATATCTAGTCCATTCGCTGATGGTAGACTGTAACGGTAACGTTTTGATGTCGATGCGTACTAATTACGGTGACTGTTCGAGACCTAAAATCGAATCGTTAAGGGTGGAAGTACTTTCAAAAAGTGGATATCGTCTTCGCAGTATCGATGTTTCATGCGGGGGTGCGACATCTTGTCTTTGTACAACTGGTGAAGGACGTCTTTTCATACTTGCTCAGCAAGATTCCATTCTGCACTCATATAGCATCGAGGACAACTCTGACTATGAAGAAAAACCGATACAATTGGAAAATGGGACAGATCACTGCGCTATGAAGTTTCACCAGCCAAGTGAACATTTCTTCGTCCTGTCCGCTTTACCCTTGATTGTCTCAATGTACAACAAAAACTGCGAATGCGTGCGCACGATCCCACTGAATGTTGGCTCTGAGTTCAATGGTATACCCACATCAAGCTTTGCAGTAGACAACGATGGACATATCGTCGTTGGGATTATGACCAAAAAATCCTCCAAGCAACTCGTAGGCGTTGTATAAATGAAAAGACTCAAACAAGTTACCCATTGTTTGTGTATTGTTATTGTTACTTTGATAACTCATAGTGTTCATTCGAACAAGTGACTAATTATCCAGCGTATGGGACATTTTATGCTTGACATACAAAGATCGGTACATCTTGAAGGATAAATTAAGTTGTTGCACTGAGATTTTCAAAATGCCCATTTCTCCTGTGACATTTACTCACAGTTCACGAAATATCTTAATTGGGTCTGTCCTATCACCTATTACTATTCAAATAAACTACCACTGTTGCTCGTTAAATTATTTTAAGAGTAACACACTTTGTGTCTACAGGATGAGTTTTAAAAGAAAGAGTAATTGTACTCTCTGACACATTGTCACGCTGATGTTGTCTGCTACGAATATTTCATCTGTATTATTTCTTTGTAGATGAATGCTGTAATATCTTAGGCTTGTATTATATTATGAACCCCAAGACCATTATATCAGGTTGCTCGGTTTATGCTGCAGTTCAGGCACAAAAATCAAACAAACTAAAAGTGATTTGTTGTGATGTAATACTGTTTGCATTGGTTATTTATTTCTTAGTGTTTCGTGTGTTTTTTTCACACCTGACTATATGAGGCTTTAACTATCATTAGTTTAATTTCCAATGCTTTGATGTATGAAACTAACTGCATAGTGTTGGATTACTACAAGTAGACTTGTTGATTTGTAGAGTTAACTAAAGAGAAAGAGTAGTAAGCGGCGAGCAAAGAGCACTAGGATTCTAGAAGACAACTGCCATGTTTATTTCTCCTCGTGGTCTCTCGTTACATATGATAATTTATGCTAATTCTGACAACCAGATGAGATAGCCAATCAACAGACCAAGTTGATAAACTAAAGTCATTATTTCCATTAAGCCCTAGTACTGTGTACTTAACAGACAGATTCCATGTTAAAGTGCTTTGGGACTGCTATAAGAAAAATACTGTCCACAATTATCATAATTACATATTTTATAGTATTCTTTTTATTGTACTTACAACTGGAGGAATGGAATATGCCCCAACTTTATGGATAATGAGTGTCTCTGGTTTGAAATTTTTGTGCAGATCATCATTGGAAAATTTAGTCACTACATTGAAGATTATAACATTATATCCCTAACCAAAATTAAGTACACTTTTAGTATACTACTTCTGTAGTCAAAGTGTACTGCAAAAAAGATACACAATGTATACTTTCAGTAGACTTGAAGTATAGTTTACAGAGCTACTAAAAGTATACTTGTAATATACTTGTTCCCACCTGAAATTGGAACACCCTAAAGTATACTTGAAGTATACTTGACAGGTACTGAAAATTTTGCAGTGCACTTCAAGCATATACCTCACGACTAAAACCACTAGTGGAAAACTGACCAGTACAGTATACTTAAAGTATACTTTACTCTAAGTATACTTAGAATGTATTCAAGATATTATGAATGAATGGTAGTATACTTAAAGTGTACTTTCCTAGCAAACTGGAGTAGTATAGGACTTGGGGCTCTCAGACCAAAACACCAAAAATGGTAAAAAATCAAGCTTTACCAAAGCAATTTATATCATTCTTCAACCGATTCGCAGCGATTCATTTTCGATAGGCTCAGGACGACTT